ACCAATAAAAGCATTTTAAATGCATGTAAGAGGTCTCTGATCAACAAGCTCAGTGTCTTAGCCACTGAGCCACCACTTCCCATCATAGGTCTTAGGACTGCTTTCATAACAGGTAAAAGGACAGGTTTATGCAGGCAGTAAAACACAGTCAGAAAGCTATACATTGGATGGCATGTATTTCTTGAGCAGAGACCTCTTACATGCATTTAAAATGCTTTTATTGGTCACATGTTGGAAAATGAATTTGCTTTAGGTACTAATAGTTATAATAAGGCAGAAGTGATCCTTACCGCATCAAAGAGCGCTCTTAAGAACTGGATATATTGAGTCAAGGAGTCAGACTTGGATCCCAGATCAATCTTGTGCATATATGAGCCGTCCACATCCTTAGGAAGAAACATATAAATACTATCATAGTCTGGACAGAGCAGGCAATGATGGGTCAGAGCTTTAACACAGACATTCCCGTTTTAAGGCTTTTTAAGGAAGCAATATTCTATGGAGGTAGTATACCTGGTATATAATATAGAACAAAGCATTACTTATTTATTTGTTCAATGAAGAGCTAGCTTTGTGGAGCTCAAGCCTGCATTTGTAGTGTTCTAGTATTTCACATAAGAACTACCCTATATGGTGGGATGGGTTGCTAGAGAGCCAAAGCCCCAAATTTATCTTGTGAGCTTCCATGGCTGTGGGTAGACTGCAACCTGGCTCTTCCCTCTTTTAGCCCTATAACTTAAGTATTACTCCACACTCATTCACAATCTGTAGTGATTTCAGGCATGGCAGACAGTGCAAGAATACATCCCTATAATTAAGCTGCACTTTTAGAAAATAAAAAATACCCAGGTTAGAAACCAACATTTTTAATGCATAGATATGTGAACTTTTGGAAGAAAGTTTTTTAAAATGTGCTAATAGCAACAATCTGCATCTCTGTCCTAAGCTAAGCTGCACATCAATGATTCAAAATGTGGGTATTGGATTTAAAACAAGTAATGTGGTAAATGTGATTGACAGGCATGTAAGACTATTAACTTTAACACTGCAAATAGATGTGTAAGTGCAAATGTTTATGAGTAGGGATATATAAGAAATAAAAAAAATATGATTGCAGCTTTACATTTCCATGTGTTAATATGTTAATACGGACCGCTTACCTTTTTGAGCACCACAAAATCATTTTCACAAGCTGTCCGTTTGTTAATTTCATCCTCATATCTGCAATAGGAATAAATTATTACTAGCACTGATTATATTAGCTTTATTCAACCGGTTGTTCAGATGTATACAAAATCTTTACAAGCCTTACTGAATATATAACTTTATGACAATTTTCTATGGTAAATGAAATCAGGAGATCATTAGCAATAGCAATAGCACTTAGACTTATATACTGCTTTACAATGCTTTACAGCCCTCTTTAAGCAGTTTATAGAGTCAGCATATTGCCCCTAACAAGTTTGGGTCCTCATTTTACCCACCTCGGAAGGATGGAAGGCTGAGTCAACCTTGAGCCTGGTGAGATTTGAACTGCCAAATTGCAGTCAGCCAGCAGTCAGCAGAAGTAGCCTGCAGTACTGCACTCTAACCACTGTGCCACTATGGCTCATACTTGCCTAAGTATCACTATAAGTTCTATACTTCATATGAGACTATTATACCTGGCCAGATGCTATGCACAGGATCATACATGGCAAATTAACTGGGTCTAAATTGAAAAAGACTACCCACTGCAAATAACGAGAAGGGAAAGCAAAACATGAAACCATGGCGAAAAAAAATAGTGTAAGAGCAGCTACAGTAATTGGGAGGAAGGCATCACGCATTGCTTTGTCTTCTTGACAGAAGTCCACATCATCCACCCAACATCATCTACTTCTCTTCACTTTTACTTACTTGTTCTTGAAATCTTCCACAAGCTCTTGTGTGTTCTTCAGTTCTATGTCCAAATGGTTTTTATCATTGCAGAGGCTGTCAAGCTGTCTTCGAAGAGTTTCAATGTAAGCCTCATAAATAGGTTCAAGATTGTCCCTTAGTGCTGGAGAGCCTTGTTGGTACAGAAGATCCCATTTGGTTTCTAGGACTTTATTCTGTTGCTCAAGGAATCGCACCTAAAACCCAACAAGGAATGGAGAGAGAAGAGGGACCTTGTTACCTTTCTTGAAGAACTGGCTAGAATCCATGTCTTCATTATGCAGATTAGTCCCTACCCTGTCTATATAGCCCTCTCTCTTCCACTTTTCCCTGCAATAATACCGTCAAGTAGACAGGGCTCACAGAGAATGACTAAACTAAGACACCAAGTTAACTTCCATGGCTAAAGCTGGGAGCTGAACATGGATTTCCCTAGTGCCAATTCAATTCTTGTATCCTTCTTTATCAGATCAGGTGGAAAGGCCCTGCTGAATCTCTGCTGATTTCCCCATGTGACAATATTCTCCATGTCCCTTCTGAGACAGAATAACAGAGTTGGAAGGGTCTTGGAGGTCTTCTAGTCCAACCTCCTGCTCAAGTAGGAAAACCTATACCATTTCAGACAAATGGTTGTCCAGTCTCTTCTTTAAAACCTCCAGTGATGGAGCTCCCACAACCTCTGAAGGCAAGCCATTTCATTGATTAATTGCCATTTCATTGATTAATTGTTTTAACTGTTTTGTCCTCTTGAAGAAAAACTCCTTCCTTAACCCTCCATCCATCCTTTCTCTAATTTTAAAAATTCAGTGTTGAAATGAATTTTCACACAATTTCACAGCATCAATATTTTACATAAATGCATAGATATGTATGTTCACATTGCAAAATTTTAAATCACCAGTTAATTAAAATTCATCAAAGATGCAAAGATCCTTTTTTAAAAAAATAAATAGAATGTTGCATTTTACACCTATATTTTGTTTCTCTAAAATCCCAGTAATATATATTACTAGGAATGATTTAGATGTGAAATGAAGTAGGGAAGCAAAAATATTCATTTTTGGGGAAATATACAAATCAGGATTAGGCAATCCTGACTTCAATCTTAACCTAGTCAACATAATTGTGTACCTACAGTTGCATTTAAGGCTGCTAATTTGATTAGTGGGGCCCAAGACGATCACTCCTAGGGATCATATGACACCCACATCTAATTATTTAGGCTGAAACATATTAGGTTGAAATGTAGAAACTATTTGACAAACCAAGATGAAGTCCTTCCAGCAGTGGAAAGCTCATCTGGTCCCTACATTTTTAGGGGCATTGGGTATTTTAGAATTGCCTTTGCTGTTTTTCATTCATTTTTAACGGTTTTAAAAAAGGTTTATCAAAATGAAGCTGAGTATGCTTCATTTTTTATCTGTATTTTTACTTCACTGGTTCACTAGTCAGAAAACCGTAATTCCTATATAAGCAAAGAAGTAGGTGTACACTGCCTGGAATCATTTTGTTTTATTCTATGATCTGCCACATTAACAGACAAAAGCTTATTATTTTGCCACAAAATCTATAAATTATTGAAGTAAATCTAAAGAAGTTGTGTTTGGGGTACATGCTTTAGAGGTGAGTATGCTTCGAGAATTATTCAGAAGGGCTTCAAAAGCAAACCTATATCCCTCCCCAATTAATGAAATCAGCTATGATCCCCTCCCCCAACTTTTACCTAAGCTAAGCCTGGAAAAAATGTGGCTGCTTTAAAAGTCACTAATGATATGGCTGATTTAATGAATCCACTCAGTGGCCAAAGTATAGAATAGTTTTTCAACGGCATTTTAAGAATGGATTGGTGCTGAATAAATATGGAAAACCATGTTTAATGAAGATGTACTTAGAATAAATTTGGGAAAGAAAAAAAGTAGCTTATCTTTCTTATTCATATTTAAAACCTCTTAGGATAAAATTAGAATGGCTTATTATTTGAAAGGGAGAATTTATTAATGTTCATTAAAGAATGATATAACTTTATAATCATCCAATGCTCTAATTGACATGTTCTCCCCTCCCCCCATGCCCTCCAGAATTCAGGCTCTTAAACTGTGAGAACAAAACGTTCATTGTGATTCTGCCAGATTTCCTGGGTGGCCTTGGGCAATTGACTAGTTATCTCATCAGATCATCTCCTTCATCTCTGAAACAAGAGTAATAGATAATGAGGAGCTTAGCCTTGAGGCATGTCGTAAGAATTAAGGAGATAATGATTTTCAAACTTGGCAACCGAATGTAGTGCCATTGCCAGATGATACTCTACACTGCGCCCAAAAAACCTTTGGATTTTGCATGGGAAAAGATTATGTTTCTTATTTAGCCAGAAGTAAAGTTCATATGTATCTTAATAGGGAAATTTGGGTCTGAAAGCAGCACTCTTGAAAACACACAAGTATGGATAAATAACTGGAAAAATCAAACAGCCCATGACATACTCAGCTGTGAGGTAAATTAGATGTTAAATGTACTGAAGAAATTGTGAGAAAAATCTGTCAGTTTTGCCTTTATTCCATAGTTATAAATCTAAACTATAGTATTTGCATTTCTCCTATTTGGATATTCCAAGGTAAGAGAAAGAGGGAGAAGGAATGGGAGAGGAAGAAGCAAAATAAACAAACATTTTTGCTTTACAAAAATGGGTACTGTATATTGCAGAAACTAAGTGCAAATATCCTTATACTGGAATACACGAGTGTGCATGAATTTTGATGGACTGATGCAGAAACAGGACGCATTAAACTTTTCTTTTAAATCATAAGTGAGAGAAAGTGAAGCAGATAAGTCTGCCCCATCCAAATTCTGGTTCAACCTGACTGAAAGGACAGAGCATTCTGTGGAAAGTAAGGTAGTCTTTTCCCATGAGTCTCTGAAGCCACATTTTAGATCATTGTCGATTAAGCATGACCAGTTCACAAGGACAATATTCCCCATTACATTTTGATATATGCAAATCCAGAACGGGTTTGCCAAATGACAATGTTTTTCAATAATAGTTGCATCCATCTTTTTTCTCCAGAACTATTCATTGAGAACTTGGCCATGAGAGATATATACTGCTACTTGGAAATACGAAACTATATATGACTGGCAACACTTGGTATGCATTTTCATTCACTTTATCCTCAATGTGAAAATCCCAATAGAGAATATTGTCTCCCTCATCTTGGTCCTCAACAGTGGAAGCACCTCAAAAGGCTGAAACAAGAGTTGAGTATAAATGAAAGATTTCCCCCCAAATGGAATATGAACAAGTTTTAATATTTTAAAAACATTGTCATTATTTCTAATAAATATATGCTGTACGGGTGAGTTTCAAGGGTGATTATTGTGTTCAGTTGTGGACAGCAGCCATTAAGAAAGATTCAGAGAAGTCAAAACAGATTTAAGGAAGGCAATAAGAGTGATGAGGCAACTATAAACTAAATCCTATCAAGAGGATTGCATCATGCATCCAGCTTTGATCACCTCAATGTAAAAAAGATGTTGAGACTCTGGAAAGAATGCAAAGAGCAGTAAAGATGATTAGGGGACTGGAGGCTAAAACATATGAAGAATGGTTGCAGGAACTGGGTATGTCTAGTTTAATGAAAAGAAGGACCAGGGATGACATGATAGCAGTGTTCCAATATCTCAGGGGCTGCCACAAAGAAGAGGGAGTCAAACTATTCTCCAAGGCACCTGAGAGTAGGACAAGAAGCAATGGGTGGAAACTAATTAAGAAGAAAAGCAACTTAGAACTGAGAAATTTTCTGACAGTTAGAACAATTAATCAGTGGGACAACATGCCTCAAAAACTGTGAAAACTCCAACACTGGAAGTTTTTAAGAAGAGATTGGACAACCATTTGTGTGAAATGGTATAGGGTTTCTTGCCTGAACTGGGGGTTGGTCTAGAACAGTGGTTCTCAACCTGTGCGTTGGGATCCCTTTGGGGGTCAAACGACCCTTTCACAGGTGTTGGAAAACACATATTTTCAAGAAAACACGGAAAACATAAAATAATTTTATGGTTGGGGGTCACCACAACATGAGGAACTATATTAAAGGGTCGTGGCATTAGAAAGGTTGAGAACCACTGGTCTAAAAGACCTTCAAGGTCCCTTCCCACTCTGTTATTCTGTAAGAGGAATGAAGGAATGGGTTGCATTTAATCTTGTAAACAGAGAACTGAGATGAAATCGATTAATATAGTACAAGTAACTGAAGAAATGTCATGGAGAAGATTAGGACCTATTATCTATCAACTCAGAATGCAGAACATGAAAGAAAAATGGATTTAAAGTACAAGAAAGTAGGTCCTGTGTGGGGTGGGGAAATGCCTATGACAATGAGAATGGTTTGACAATTGAGTAATTCGGCAATGGGGAAAAGGCAACTGGCCTGAAAAAGAAAAAGGAAGGGGAAACAAAACTGAACTGAGATGAAGGGACGCGAAAAGATCATTAGACAGGGAAGGGTTAAATTCACCCAGCAAGCAGTGTTCCCAACCCCAAAGCTCCCTCTAGAATCGTAACCTTCAGACATATTCTTCGTAATAAATTTGGATTTCTGCAATGGGCAGACGAATGGACTTGATCTAAATAACCTCATCCAACTCTATAATTTGAAACCATACCATGACTTGTACAAAGACATCTGCCAGGGTTTTTTTTTTTTTTTGGAAAGCAATGAATGAGTGCTTGGCAGAAAATTGACTAGGCACGTGTCAAGTATAGATTTAATGATGGGAAGACATACAGCTATTTAGCTCTTATTGTGGTATGCCCCTGTAGAGCATAATGACAGAGAGCTGTATAGAAAACCCAATGAAGAAAATCTCAAAGTATTAATTAGATTTGCATAGAGGTAGACTACACTTTCAGAACATTATATTGTATAGATAGCCCTTCCTGACCTGTGCCATTTTAATGTTCTCATGCAGGGGTAAGCTCTTTCATGTAGGACACATGATTCCAGTTTGCAAAGTGTAGGTCATTAAAGCAATTTAATTTTTAAATATGTTCTATATTGTGCGTATGTGTGTCTGTGTATCTTTCTATCTTCAGTGACAATCTTGAGTCATGGTGACTGCCTAGACTAATCCCTGCAATTTTCAGGTTGCCATTGTCCAAGGGCTAAGAGCGAGATACTTAGCTACTTTCATATTCAAGACAGGACTAGAACTCAAGCCAATATCTAGCATGATGCCTCTTAGCCACTACACCAAGTATATTTTCATTTATTTCTATTATATCATAATAATAACAATATCATGGGGAAGTAGTTTATAAATACTAGCAATAAATGTTGCGTAAAACACGTTATGAAGATGAACATGAAACATGATTTTCACATGTACGTGGTCATAACAAACCTGTGATTGAGAAACACCTAAGAATGAATTTGTATCTGTCATTAGGAATATACTATTAACTGCATAATTCCTTAGAAGAACCATTTATATTAACCAAATGAGTCTTCAAATTACTGCTATCAAATTAATCCAAAATGTGCAATAAAGTGTAGCATGCCTACTTCTCTCCCACTAGATTTTCACCAATATCAACCTTTCTGCATTTTAACTTTTAAATTCTAAAAATCTTTTCAAAAGTCACAATAGTTCACTTCCACCCCAGTTGAAATGTGTGCAAAGCAGTCCTTCTTTAAAAGCTTTTATATTTCTTTTACATGTAGAAAGTAACCTCTATCTCAACAACGTTGTAGGTTTGGTTTGCTAAAATTCAGCTTGTGTTTACCCAGCAGGCTTTCCTCTTATGAGAAAAAAATGCCATTTAAAACTATGTTTAGACACATATTCCAAAGAGAAACCAACTCTTTGAAATAATAATGATCAAGCTATTCATTCTGGAGACAATTAGTTTTTCGAAAATTAAACAAGTTTATTTAACTAGATGTACTAGAATAGATTTACATCAATGTCACTATAACATTTTATTTGAAAGAAGCTGCTGTATATACTAAGTGAAGCCAGCAATGAATTTAACAAGTATTGTGGGGGTGGATCCTGTACCAGGCACTGTTCTTTAGATCAGTGTATCTCAACCACAGCAACTTTAAGATATGTAGACTTCAACTCCCAGAATCCTGGGCGTTAACTAGGGAATTCTGGGTGTTGAAGTCTATACATCTTAAACAATCATGTATTCCGTGACAAGATATCTTTTAATCTAGTATCATTACAAATGTCTGACCAACCTTCTTTGACAATTTCCAAGGAAAACTGTAAAACTTTCACATTTATAGTTAACTTCATTACTGAAATACTTTCCAAGTACTTAATTTAAAAGTACAATTTAAATAAAGTTACTAGTTCTTTTCTTAAGTGTAGCTTCCCACCATCTGGTGCTCTCCAGATAGGTTCAATGACAAATGTCATCTTTCCCAGACAACATAGACAAGGGGATTAATAGAAATTATTACCCAAAACACATGAAGGAGACATGATTGAGGAACGCTGCCTTACAATTAAAACAGCAGAAACTCCCATCATTATAGTTTCAGTCCTTTTGCATCTTTATGAAGCCAGATTTTCATAAGCTATTCAAATCCTGAGCAGCATCATTCTACCTCCAGGTTGTAAAAGAAAAGCTCCCTTGTGTCTTATTTTCAGAACAGTCCTGAACCTCTCATACCTTCCTAGTGTTTCTTTTTGCAATGCAATGTTCTCCCTGCCCTCCATCTTACCTTGTCAATGAAAGAGGCAAACTTGTTGTTGAGGGTCTTAATCTGTTCTCTCTCTTGCACCCGGACCCTCTGAAGCTCAGGATCAACCTCCACGTGCAGAGGAGTCAGTAAGTTCTTATTCACTATGACATTGTGGATTCGCCCAGGTGGGCAAGGCATTGAGCCTGAAAATCCATATCCTCCTCCACCACCGCCACCACCACCACCAAAGCCTCCAACATGACTACCTAGGCCCATGCCACCACCACCAAAACCCCCATATCCTGTGTTATAACTGCTGAATCCCAGACCACCACCCAAGCTTCTTCCAAAGTGAGCTCCTCCACCACCACCGGAAGCTATGCCCATAGAAATCCGCTTGCTTCCACCAGTGTTGTAGAGACTTCTGCTGCCAAAGCCACCACCAAAAGATCCCACTCCTCCGATGACAGAGGTTGAGCTGTTGCCCACTCGGAAGCCACTGTTGGAGACAGAGTAGTTCCTCCTTCCCCCCGCTGAAAATGATCTGGAACTGAATTGCCGGTTCATGGTGCGTCTGTGAGAGGGAGAATGGCAAGGTTGTGAAGCAGAAACAGAGGAGTAGAGATTAGAGGAGACCAAGAGCCCCCCTGTGATGTGGAAATGAGAGATGTCTCCTTATATGCATTTGAAATCTTGGGCTTGGTTGCATGGGAATGAGGAAAGCAAATATTCAAGGGCTTGGCTTGCCTTCAAGCAATGAGTTCTACAGTAACGGCCCAACATCAAGTGCAACACACCTATCCGATAACTTTAATTTGTCCAAATTGCTTGCTTTGCAATACCAGCTTATTTGCATCCCTTTCATGTTCACCATTACCATGTTTGCTTTCTTCAAAGAGCTTTAAGCTATGGTACACAACTGAAGATTAATGCAAGGGGGTACAACTGAGGATATCTTCCTCTGTGCCAACAAATACTGTTGCACATAAAGAACAAGACACAGATCTGGGTGTGGGATGCTCTGCAGAAGTTTGTAGATGTCTTCGGAGCCAATCAGCAAGATTGCAGAGGGAGTTCTAAGGAAAAAGTCAGCTCTAGAAAACTCTTCAAAAGTTCATTTTAGAGAGGAACCCCTTAAGACCATTTCGTGCATTTGTGTGTATGTATTTGTGTGTGTGTGTGATTATGAATCACATAAATGGTGTCATGAGGAATGTACAAAAGAAGAATTAACCGTGTTGCACCTCCACGCCAGTTTTTCCTAACGTTCATTTCTTTGGATGTGTCCACCTGCAATTTCCACAAATTGCCGCCACCACAAGCAATGTTCAGAGATGAGTCTTAGGCTAAATACTTGAAGAGCATCAAGTTGAGAATGGCTGATTTTCTAAGAATCCATGTAAATGGCTCAGAAATGATAGATTGAGCCATTTGAGTAAACAGCATGCTTTTCTTAGGGCTACAGCATCATTAGAACTGTACGGTATTTTATCTAGAGCTATGGCCACTTAAGAAGATTGCGGGTAACACTACAATGTGGGCACCTTGGTTTAAGGAATACTATAAAGAAGTTCAATTTAAATAACAAGTTGTTTTCAAGGGTGATTTCAGGACTTTGGGGTGGTTTGGAAAACCATGTTCAGCTAAATGTTTCCAGCTTCTATTCAAGCAATACTAAGTACTCTACTGAACCACAACAAGTAATAAAGGTTTCCTTAATTGCAAAGAAACTTCAGGGCAAAAATGTCTTGCACTTGAAATATTATGTATTTAAATCATGATCCTTGCCTGCCTGGGCACAACATGCAAGGAGCAGAGATCTTTATAAGAATCATTTCCCAAGCTTGCGTAGAAACAAATGCAGCCAACATAAAGCATCATTAGAAAAGCGGAGGAAAAATGGGTACAATATGATCTATATTCTGGTTTTCCCCCCAGGCATGTTGCAATATGGGGAGAGAGCCGCTTATTAGATTTTTTCTCATGCTACTTTCGACGTGGTCTTCTCTTCTGAATACATATAATTCTTTGTGTTGTTAAAATGTTCCTGATGTTTTCAATGTTTTAGAGTGACCAGAGTCTGATAGCCTTATACTGTATATATGCTAAACAAATTGATAATCCCAAGCAATTCCGTTCAACCCCCAGCTTGCTCCTCTGATCAAGTGATGACTTCTGCTAGTAATTTAATTCAATCAGTTGGGATGGATAAATCAGGGAAAAGCAAAAAGTGGGAAAACGAATAGAATGGAATAGAATAGAACAGAATAGAATTCTTTATTGGCCAAGTGTGATTGGACACACAAGGAATTTGTCTTTGGTGCATATGCTCTCAGTCTATATAAAAAGACAAGATACATTCATCAAGAATCATAAGCTACAACACTTGATGATAGTCATAGGGTATAAATAAGCAATCAGGAAACAATCAACATCAGTATAAATCGTAAGGATATAAGCAACAAAGTTACAGTCCTGCAGTCATAAGTGGGAGGAGATGGGTGATAGGAACAATGAGAAGACTAAGAGTAATGAAAATAGTCATGAAAAATGTAACACGTCCTCCTCAGAACTTGATCTATTAAAATGTCTTTCTTAACTAGTCTTTCATAACTGCCCACATTACAAGTGTACACTTGCTTTTCACACCTTTCCCCATAGGCCCTGCGCATTTTCATGGTAGCCATTATCTGGGTGGGCAAATTATGGATGTTTATGTTAATTGATTAATGTTTAAACTTGAAGAACAATTTGACCAGGAGCTGAGCTTTGGCTAGTTATCATCTCAAATACTGTGAAACTCAACTGCCTGGGTGTATCTCAAAGGTCTCACTTCTTTTTCAGACACAACGTTCCTGCACCAATGTTCCCCCTCCCTATATTTTGTAAGCCGCCCTGAGTCCCCTCAGGGAAAAGGGCGGCCTATAAATAATAATAAAACTAAACTAAAACTAAACCAATGGCCTAGAAAAAGATACCTCGCATGAATTTCTGTTTTGAAGCTACATCTTCCCCTCTAAAGGGTCTCCTTTGGTGAGATGGATCAAACACTTCCAATGGAGGTGACTTGCTGTTCCTCTACTTCCAGGTTTAAAAGGATGGATGCTGTCATTCATACAGCCCAGATGGCACTAGGAAAACAGAAAAGAGGAAGGGTAGTCCTATGTTTCAGAACATTCTGCAGAACCTCCGAGCATGAGTAGAAAAAGTTCACAGGAGACAAATTTTCTCCTACTCCTTTTCACATTTATCATTTTGATGATCCTATCAACTCTCCGTGATGTCTGTCTTTCCCCTCAGCAGCATCCATAACAAACCACAAAATGATGTCATGT